TAGTTTGACTAATTTTTAATTCAGAAAAATGAATAAGAAGTTACTTATTTGAGTGGGATAGATGCACCCAAAACCAAAAATTTAAGTACCTTGACAATGTACAAATAAAATCAATTAATCAATAGTAAGAAATCTACTGTTGGAAATGAAGATTATGATAGAAGAACAAATAGCACATTTAAAAATATCATGTGTTCTTCTAATTAAATCTAAATTACCAAAAAAATTATAACATTAAATTTAACAAACCTCAACCCAAAATAACTAGAGAAAATACTAGATCTGGACAAATGTGTGCAACATAATTGCTAATAATAATTCAATATTGCATTTAAAATTAAATTATTGCCAAAAAGTAGTTAAAAAGAGGTCAAATAATGGAAACTCAAAAGAAAAAAAATGAAAGATTATAGATACTCATACTTTTCTTAAATTAAAATCCTCAAAAACTACTAAATATTATACCTCAACAAATAGCAGCAGCTCTTAATTTGTCTCTCTTCCCAGCAGCAAAATAAGATTGATAAACTTCACAAAGCACCAAACCATACGAGTAAGAAGAAGTAGACAGTTTATGAGTAAAGAGCAAACATCTACTTATATTGACTAAAGATACACAAAAAACAAAAAAAATTTGGCACATGAAATAATCTTACTTCAAATCAATAATCAAATTTCACACGAAAACCAAATTTTCAATGCCAGTCAGAACTTTTGACTAAAACAGGAAAAAAAGTAATTTTTACAAACAATTTATTTGACCGAACAAATCTCAGACTATCACCATCCAACCATCCAACCCTCCATGTCGGGTCGGTCAGTAATTATGACCGAAATATGCATAATTCTAAACCCAATGCACTTATTTTTTTTTTAATTCGTGAAGCACAATTGCGCATGCGTGCACTAGTTCGGTCAAGGATTATGACTGAACTAGTCCACATGGTTTGCTTAGTTCGGTCAAGACTTATGACCGAATCAAGCCAACCATAGTCACGCCGAACAATGCCTAGCCTATTTGTGAGAAATAAGTTACTTAACTTCGGTCAATGGCAATGACCGAAATAATGACCTATTTCGGTCATGAAACTTGACCGAAATATGTCATTATTTCGGTCATTTCCATTGACCAAAATAATCATCCCATACCGAAATAATCATCCCAGAAGGTGCATCTCCTCTTTAGAATTCATGTGAGCACTAGTTCGTTTTATTGAGTTTAGGGAAGCAGCAGCATCCATATATATATACATAAGTTAATGAAATCCCTTAATTGTTATTCTATTTCCTATTTGGTCACATTTTCTCTTTTTTGCTTTCTTTGTTTCAAACTTTTTTATATAAATTTCATAAATAATTTAATATAAACAATTCTACCAATTAATTAATCATATGTTTTAATATATATTAAAACATGTAAATAAAAGCTTTAAAATTGAAACACATATATATAAAACACAGTCTAATACCATAATTAAACAATTTATGACCTAAAATACTATTACTTAATCTTAATGCCTTAATCTCATACATACCTAAAATATATAATAGAACAAGATGTTTTGATACAAAGATCAACTGAGAGCAACGCCTATTATGCTCCCCCACTTGTCCCAGCCCCTCATTCTCCTTGCATCCATCCCGGCATCCCTTCTGGCATCCCCCTTGCATCCCTCCTGGCATCCCTCCCTGCATCCCTCCCTGCATCATAAAAAGCATTCTCTCCATCTTCTCAAACTTCTCTTCCAGTGTCTGTTGATTCTCATGTAATGCTGTTACGGTTTGTTGTAACTGCACCACTTGTTGGGATGATTGAACAAAATTACTAGGTATAGTGTGCCGAGGATACTTTCGATATGACACCCCTTGCTCTTCAGGGTCCATGTACATAGGCATGTCGTACAATCGCCCATCCTTTGATGGTCCACCTGAAACTTGGGATAAAAGCTGGGCGTCGACTGTTGTTGGCCATGTAATGTTATCCTCTCCATATTTCAGACTAGCCTCTACATTTAATCTTTCCTACAATAAATCATATAATATATTTTATCATTCAATAAAGTTTAAAAGTATTAGATACTCAACTGTTTATAAACAACCTTAATATTCAATATAATTATAAATATTATAATAAAATTAGTTTAAATTTGAATAAAATTAATTAGTTTAAATTGGAGACAATTCATTATAAATGTAAAAAAATTTCAGCATAGTTTCCTCTAGCAACAATATTTTCCAGAATGTAAACATTGTAAAAAATTACATTATATATCATTAACATAATTGCAGTTATAATTTTGAATAAAATTAAAATGTAATATGATTCTACTAAGATAAATAAATAAAGGACCTTTCAAGTTATCTCAATTAGCCAATTAAAAATATTACACATTTGTAATATAATTAATGAAAACCAAAATCATTATATAATTTTTAAATAATTCGATAGATTTTCCCTCAAAATTGTATTTCCCCCCTATGCACAAAATATAAAAATACAATCAATCAAAATATCAATGTTTAACTAACACAATCATAATTGTCAAACAAATTATTTAATCTTGATTAGAGACTTAATATAACTATCAATATTATATTATAAGTACTTCAATTTTTCAAAAATCATTATATATCAATAAAAAATTCGCCAGAGTTTCTCCTAAAAATTGTATTTTCCCCCTATGCACAAAATATAAAAATACAATCAATCAATCAATTCATTAAGCAATTAAATATGTAATTATGATTTATACTAATCAATCAATGGGACAAAATGATAATTAATTATCAGTTTTAATAAGTTAATAAATTTAATTAATTATAGTGTTTTTATAAATAAATATTATATTTATCATTTATTAATCAATAAAATCATAATTTCTCGATCAATTTCAAAATATAATCAAAA